GTTCAGCTGAAAAACAAACTGGTGCAAACTGCTGGCTTGGCGGTTCGTGCCCATCTCTAATTCTGATTGTATTATTATTGCCCTTTTATTTGACTTCAGACAATCTTACGACCAAGGTAGCACTTTCACATATACAGAAAACAATATAAAATAACTGCAATCATGAATACAGTGACAAGGTTTATATGGAAGCTGATAAATAAAATATTTGTAGAATACTGTCACATGCGTTCTTCTTTGAGTAGAGGACACTGTCTAGTTTTCACAATCCACCTTTTTTAATTTACAAGAGCTTGGGAAAATAAAACTACATATGCTAGTACATTTCTCCACATAGATGTCAGGGTGGTGGAGTGATTAGGGTAGACATAGTGAATAACGGGCTATGGGACAATGCAACCTATTTTGCTGCAAAAAGCAACCTATTTTGCTACAAAAAGATTCATTTTTCAGCCAAGCAGGCATTTGGTGCTTCCCAGCTGTCTCATCCAGTGGACACCCATTCAGAGGCAGCACCCAGAGGAGGCACGGCAGGGAAGCCAGGGTGATGCCTCTGAGTGGGGTGCTCACCAGAGGAGATGGGGCTGGGGAGCACCAAACACTTGTTCAGCTGAAAAACAAACTGGTGCAAACTGCTGGCTTGGCGGTTCGTGCCCATCTCTAATTCTGATTGTATTATTATTGCCCTTTTATTTGACTTCAGACAATCTTACGACCAAGGTAGCACTTTCACATATACAGAAAACAATATAAAATAACTGCAATCATGAATACAGTGACAAGGTTTATATGGAAGCTGATAAATAAAATATTTGTAGAATACTGTCACATGCGTTCTTCTTTCAGTAGAGGACACTGTCTAGTTTTCACAATCCACCTTTTTTAATTTACAAGAGCTTGGGAAAATAAAACTACATATGCTAGTACATTTCTCCACATAGATGTCAGGGTGGTGGAGTGATTAGGGTAGACATAGTGAATAACGGGCTATGGGACAATGCAACCTATTTTGCTACAAAAAGCAATAAAGGGCTATGGGACAATGCAACCTATTTTGCTGCAAAAAGCAACCTATTTTGCTACAAAAAGATTCATTTTTCAGCCAAGCAGGCATTTGGTGCTTCCCAGCTGTCTCATCCAGTGGACACCCATTCAGAGGCAGCACCCAGAGGAGGCAGGGCAGGGAAGCCAGGACGCATTAAAAAAAGTTCAGTTCCTGCTTCATGTAACACATATAGGCTGAGAAACCCAACTATATAGTTTCTATAAACCCCACAGTTCCTTAGTCATTAGACACAGCACTGGTAGAACTGTGCATCATGTATCACATAAAACTGTTAGCTAGCAAGTAGTTTTTAAACTTATTACATATGTCATCTTTATTCACTAATATAATTTTGAGAGGTGAATTGTGCATTTTCATACAAGATGACTTCTTATAAAGATCACACCCAAACCCAGTAAGGTGACAAGTAGGGATAAGCCATTCATCTTTTTTGGACTCCGAATTTCCCAAGCAGAATTATGGGAGTCTCAGCCCACAGATGCACACCTACCATTTACTCACCTGGACCACAACCTAGAGATCACATGGCTTTCTGAGGCTTTCGTTTTCTGTTGTTAATGTAAAAAATATAAAATAAGAAGAGAAAGCTGCCGTAGTACTTCCTGCGAATTGTAGTTCATCAGGAGGAACCTTAAATTCCCAGGAAGTACCATAACAGCTTGCTTCTTCATACAGTGGGGTCTCTACTTAAGAACGTCCCTACTTAAGAACAATCCAACTTAAGAACAGCTCCATTTGCTAAATTTTGCTTCTACTTGAGAACAGAAATCCAAGATAAGAACAGGAAAAAAACCTTTCCTGCTCTTTTTTTAACCTTAGGTCATCTTAGGAGTAGAGACCCCACTGTATATTAACAACAATAGGCTGGAGCTAGGCCATGCAGACTTTGAGACAAGGGTCTGTTCCATGTGATGAAAACATAGGTGTCTTTAGATGTGGTCTTTGGCTTGATATTCTCAAAATTTTGCCTGGGGAATTGCTAGAGTTGGGATTCAAAAGAGCCAAATGGCAAATGACTAGTGACACATATTTGCCCTTCTGTAGATTTATATATAATAAACATCTATCTGGCTCAAAACTGTTAGGAACAGAATATAAAACATGCACCTGCATCACTTTCTTACATTCCAACATGCATAATAATCTGGAATAATAAATTATGTGCTAAAACACTTGGAAAAAAATCAGTCCTCTTGACTTTTAATTACAGAATATCAGCTATAATTGCGAACCACAGCATATGTTCAGTCACATTTCTTGTCATCAGTCCAACCTCTCATTACACTCTCCTCCAGGAGTAAAAGCAGATTTATTTCTACAGCCTCTCCTCTTTTGTGAAGAAATGCAAAATAAAATAAAAATTAAAAATGCAGAAAAATATACAGTGAAGACCACTGTACTTTTCTTGTGTGTATAAATTTTTTTGAAGGCAAACATTAACAAATTATGCATAGATTCCTTTCACAATGAGTTTTTTTAACAGAAGTGAGAGCAATTTGTTTCTCTAATTCTTAAACAGCAATGTTTTGCTTTTAAATCTACCCTACATATAATTTATTGTAATTCTAAAAGAGAAACATAGCACATTTCTAAATAATTCTATGGTCTCTTAATAGCACAACCCCAACCCCCATTAATTCACTGGTGCTGCCACAGAAGTAGACTTTGTTCCAACATGCACAGCACAAGCTAATCTAATCAAGCACCACACACTACAGGGTAGAGCCTGACAGAAATCCTTCCATGTCTCTCTCAGGAGTACAGAATATATCTAGTCTAATTGAGTTGACTGGTTTGACTAACAATGTTGGCAGCACCTGCAAATTAGGCTGGAGAAAAAAAAGGTGGAGCTGAATCATGTCAATGATACCAGCACACAGGAAGCAGAAAATGGATGGCACAGCATTACTTCAAAACCATTCAAATAGTATCTGCCCACACAATAGCTAGTAACCTTCAACATATCGGTATTTTTAAATCAGGGTGGATAATAAACATCCTTTTTTTTCCAAATAAAAACGAAATTGAGACTTATTTTTTTCATTTAATGCATGTTTAAATTTTTTATTGTTAAAATTCTTGTTACTTAAAAAAGCCCTTTGTGGTGATAGCTTTTATTTAAAATGTATTACAGTTCAAATATCTCTTTATGGAATGAGGATTATTCATTGTATATTATAAGGAAAATATTCATATGAACTTTATTCAAGAGTTTCGTAAATAGTGCCCAAGAGTTTCAATAGGATTAGGGCTTCAATTTTATGAGATTCCATAGGTTTCTGTTAATCTTCTGCCCCTGCCCCAAGAATTGAGTCTGGGTAGAAACAATTAGAAAAGCTTGCAGTTTTAAGCCAATTTTCTCAACTCTAACTGAAGTTATTGCTGGATCTGTCCCCCTCACCTTTCTCTCAGCATGTTATGGTCTTGGAAATTCTTGGAAGCCTTGTCAAAATCTCCAGGATTCATTTCAATAGCCTCCTTTAGTATTGTTTATTCCTTTATAACAGCAACTTAGCTATTTTCCTTCTGTAACTTGGTGAAGACAAAGTCAAACCATTACTGCTCTCTCTAAGGGTCCACTTTCAGATGCTGGAAGGGCCAATGAAGAGAGGATTATTGGAGATGGAGAAAAACTGGACGAGGAAATTGTGAAAAATAAGTACTGCGAAAAAGCAATGTATCAATGTTATCGCAAACAAGAATGCACTTTTCTCATGCGAAAAAAATTATAGATGAAACTGAATCTGGATGGACAACTGAAATCAATTTCCTTTAAATCCACCTTGTTTTAAAACTGATCACTCATCCATTTAATAATGACAGTTATTACTAAAACACTAATTACCTAGTTCAGTTACAGATATACAATCCTAAATTATGCTTTAATAGAAACAGAATTATTATCTTCCTTCTTCTATCTTTTTAAGATGCCAAAGTAGTAATACACTGATGAAATCACAAGATAAAAAAATTTGTAGATATTCATTTTAACCTTTAAAAAAAGATGGGGAAACGGTTTTATGATAATAGTTGAGTACTGATAATATTGAACAGAGCTGCATAAAGATACATTTCGAATGCTCAAGAAGTTGGCCGAAAAAGGCATATTATTCATCACTATTTGATATATTTAAAATTTACTATCATGGTTCTATACTTGTAAGAAGAAATGACAGTAAAATCAACAAGAGCTAGAACTACAGAGGATATAGTTCCTAAATGGTACTTAAAATTGCACAATTGACAGTTGACCAATACAATACTACAACAATTGTAAAATATTTCCATATAGAACAAAAAAATAGGCCTCTCATTAATATTCTTAATACAGCCCTTCCCCTAAGTGATCAAAACACTAGAAGTACATGATCTTAATAGTGCTTATATACTTGTTAGATATGCCAGCATTACTACCTATACAGTATTTCAGATGTGGGAGCAAAGGTTTACACATAGTACTTTACATACACCAAGGATGGGCAATTTGTGGTCCTCCAGATTTTGCTGGGTTGCAATTCACATTAGCTCGAGCCAAGGGTAGAGGATGATGAGGGTTATAGTGGCACAAATTTGCCACTGTTAGCCAAGTAGTACTCAGATGTTTTAACCAAGCTCACAAAATATGGGGATGTCTAAATCACTGATGAGTTTGTTAGCCACACAGTTCTTCTAAATAAACAGGAAACTACTTAAGAACAAACCTGTTATTGAACACTGAGCATTTTACATTATCTCTTCTTACATAAATTACCACTTCTTACAGAAAGATCAGTGAATTAGTACACTTTTATATTTTTAACAGAGACAAGACCTGGACCTCAAGATTCACTGAGTAGTTCCAACAGATGAACAGTGATAAAGAAAATCTCAAATTTGTATAGAATATCAGCATAATAATTTTTCACAGACTGAAAGATATACGACTTATATTTACCTCAATGTCCAGGTTATCTTGAACATCTTTGCTACTTTTCCCACTTTTCCCTGCTTTTGGAGGTTCCTGCAATTTACAGAAATACACCAGTATTGAGAAAACAAAAACATGATGCACCTTTGCTTTAAATGACTGTTTTTTAATAAACTGGAACACATCTACAGAAGACACAAAATTAAAATACACTACTCAGCAAGTAGTGTCGATTTTTTAAAAATGGGGGCACCACCTAATTGCAAGGCAAACATGTAATATTTTTAAAGTACACAAGAATGGAGATAGAATTGGGAGGGGCATAGATCAAGGCTGAAATAAATATTGTGATAATTAAACTACACCTTATAAAATATAATAACAGAATGGCAATCTGAAAATAGTACCACTGGCCAGAATACTACCGTGTAGTACTGCACAAGTAATGACAACTACACAACCAGTTTTTTGCCTTTATCTAGCCATCTCTAATACACACAGGTGTACATAAACATCTCCAAATGCACAACAGACAGCTGGCAAAATGATCCATAACTTTTGTATGATATCAAAATTACACTGCACAACATTAACATCATTTTGGATGAGTTCTGAACAATTTTTTTCCTTGGGAAATTTAAAGACCAGGCTGGACGACTACAGCTGATACAACTGAAACCCAGGGAAACCTGTGGCAGCAGTTATTAATAAGTGATGGCATCACTTCCAGTACATGATTCTGAGATCTAGTTTTCACTTTGCCCCATATATAAAATTCATATTGGAGACTATAGTTTTTACAATCTTTCCGTATGGAGCTGACAACTAGAACCTATGCTTGCTGCCATTACACCATATCTACTCTTTGCTCCCAGATTCTTATTTTTTTAGATTTGTCAGGTCTGAAAGAAGAAATAGTAGGTCAAATAGATAGTTACACCACAAAAAATACAGAATGAAATGAGCACACCCAAAATTCTGAACAGATGTAGACAAGAAAAACAGAATTCAGCATGACATGTAACTGACAAATGCAAGAGCCATATATTCTGGTGTCAGCATTAAAGCAAAAACTCCTGGAATGCCTGCAGGCCAGGTCTCTGCCTCACCTATCAGTCTAGCTAGGAAACAAAGGCTCAACCAGTATTCAGCATGATCTTATATATGTTTATACAAAATGTCTCACTGAGCAACCAGGTTGCTTCCAAGAACATATAAGTATGTTTGCAGAATTATGCCTAAAGACTCCTTCAAAGTGAGTATGACTGCATCAATATCACTTAACTGCTTGCTGACACTTTTCCAAATACATGAGAACCAGTCCCCGAAAAATTACAAGATTATCTGAGAGTGAGTTAATGTATGCTGTTTAACAAGTTTTTTTTTTTTTAAAGGCACTGATACCAGCATGCCTTTTTTAAGGCATGGAGCTTTTTTTTTTCACACGGACCTCAGTGTTACTAGCATTTGATTGTAAGCTCACCCACCCCCTATCTTGCTTCCACACAGTATATTTGCACCCATTTTTTTTCTTAGCAGGAAACATTCCGCCTCAAAAAACAACTCCCACAACAGGTAAGAACTTTGTTGCAACAAAGCATGCCTTGCAGCACCTTAGAAGGCCTTACAGATTTAAAGCTTAACATCTGTTATCCCTCAAAATGGCACAAGAGTGCTCGTTATCCCACCCCCTTCACCTAAAAGTACGAACTCCTGCCTGTTAAGTCTTCACACCACTCTTTCAGGGGGGTGTAGGGCAGATAACGACGGTGTGGGTGCGTGTGTGTGTTTTTAACAGTCTCAAGCACTGCAGGGGAGAAGGATTCGCCCCCCACTCACCCCCCACCAAAAGGCATCCCTTTCCAGGGTCTCATTTTAAGGCACCCTCCTCCCACCTCCAGAGGATCCCCATTAATAACCACGGACACTTTTCTTTCTTTTCTCCCTTCCCTCCCTCTCTTCCACTCAACTGGCTTTCCAAGCCCCCAGCGAGGCCTGCCAACTCCACTCCCACCCCCCCTCGGGTAGGGCCTGCTCCTGCCTCAAACTACTACTACTCCCCCCCACACCGCCGCCGCCGCCGCCGGTTCTTCTCAGGCCTGACCTGACTCTTCTCCTTCTTGTTTTTATTCGGCATGGCCGACCGGTGGGGTGGCTGGGAGCCCGCCAGGCCGGAGAGCCGCCACCTCCCACGGGGACAAGAGGTGGAGGCGGCGGTGGCCCCGTTGACTCCCGGCTTCTCTTCCCTCACTCTTCCGCCTCCTGCTTCAGCTGCTTCCTATTCCTACTACTCCCACTACTCCTCTTCCTCCTTCACCGGCCGGAAAGCCGGCCTGTCTCCCGCTCGAGGAAGCGGGCTCGCTGGCTCCCTCCCTGGGAGCTCCCCCCTTTCCTTCCCGCCTGCCTGCCCGCCCGCCCCGCTTCCTCGGACTCCCCGAAGCAGCCCAAGGGGAGGGAGGGAGGGAGGAAGGCAGGCGAAGAAGAGGCGGCCTCTCTGTCAGCAGCGCTCTCCTCCTGCCCCGCCCCCTTTCACGGCTGGGATGGGAGGACGCCTCGCCATTGGCTGGGCTGTGTCACGTGAGCGTAACGCTCTTCCTCCTCCTCCCTCCCCATGGTTTTCATGCCCCCCCCTCCGCATCTGGAGGCAGAGCCTCTACGGTGGTGGTGGTCGAAAGGGGAGCTGTGTTAGTCTGTGCAAGCATTATTGGTTAAAAAGTAATAATAATAATAAAATAAAAGAACAAATTAAAAAAAGACAAAAATGTGGTGGCACCTTAAAGACCAACTGTTACATATATCTATTTTAACGCCAGCTTTCGTGGGCAAGTCCACTTCGTCAGGCATAAAACATATGGTGGAGGTTGTTTCCCTCCCCCCACCGCCACCCCCCAGCCCTTCTTCCCCCGCTGAAGGTGAAGGAGACCCGACCAGTTGGTCCTGTCCCCAATTTCCCCTCGGTGAGGGAAAAGCTAGAAAAAAAGCATTCAGGCCGTCATCCTGCAATAGGGAGACAGGCCCTCCTTCGCCTCAGGGAGGAACCGCCTCCCGTTTGGGGAGTCTCGGGTGCGGGTGGGAGGTTTGTCAGGGAGACAAGCACGGTAGCAAAGTCAGTGCGAAGGAAACTGAGGGGGGCCAGGGCGGGGGGAAAAGACCGAAAGGAAAGGATTGTGAGGAAAACGGGGTGAAAAAGAAAAAGACGTACGTGTGTGTGTGTGTGTGTGTGAGAGAGGAAAAAGTGTAAAGCAAAATAAGGAAGTGTGACAAAGAAAGACTTGAATGCAAGAGAAAGACAATGAAGAGGTGACAAAGGAAGGAAAAAACTAAGAGTGTGTGAGAAAGGATTCATTGGCTGAAAACCTGCTGCTTTGCGTAGTAAGTTACAACTGGAGTAGACCTATGGAATCAATGGGGACTCCTCCATAACTTCCACAGATTCAGTGGGCTTACTGGAGTTGTGATTTACTACACTAAACAACAGGGTTTCAGCCCCTCCTCTCTCTGAGGGAAAAGTGAGTATTTGTTAATACAGTACAATCGACTACTGTTGTGAATTGATTTTTTTGTTCTCCTTTCGTGTGTATGTAGATATACTTTGTTTCCATATCTTTTGAAGTCCCTGCCCCAACCTTTGTATGTATTACTCCCCCAAAATAAGACCTAATCTGAAAATAAGCCCTAGTAAGATTTTTCAGGATGCTCCTAATACAAGCCCTACCCCCCAAATAAAGCCCAGTTAAGTGAAAAAACCCCCGCCCTCCAGCATTGTGCAGCAACTGGGAAGAAGATGACAGGACTGTATTTGAATAAATGTCGAATGTTGTACATGAAAAAAAAACATTCCCTGAAAATAAGCCCTAATGCATTTTTGAAGCAAAAATTAATATAAGACCCTGTCTTATTTTTGGGGAAACACAGTACATATTTCTATAGGGGTAACATTTTGATAAAGAATGGGTAGAGGCCTGTTTCCTTAGGGAATTGCATAAGCGTTGCTATATGTTACTTGTTTGCCAAGTGACTGGTCTTCTGCTGGTTGCACAACTATTAATGCAATTGTTTGCATGTTCAAGGTGGCAACAAGATCCCAGGAAATACAAAAACTGCTTGCATGATTGTCTTGACGTGTGTGTGGCATGTGTTTTGGCAATAGGATTTTATCTATCAAGTGCACTCAAGACTAGCAAACTTTACAAGTGTAAGCTTTAGTGGATGGAGGTAGCCTTCTTCTTCAGTTACCTCTGAAGGAGTGGGCTATAGTCCATAAAGGCTTGTGCTAAATCAGACCTTATCATAAATTAGTCTTTAAGGTGCCCCAAGTCTTCTTGTTGTTTATATGATTTATCTATCTGAGCAGCCAGCTAAGATTGATGCTTCCAATATGTGATAAGGTCTAGCATGCAATAATTTACACAACAAATCCGTCCATCTTTAAGGGATCACGATACTTTATTTTTGCTGCAACAAGTGGCATATTACTTATTTATTCTTTAGATTTTTATCTCACATTTCCTTCAATGGTTCAAGCCAGCTTGTATGACAATCTGTGGTGTGTAGGCATCCTTCAGTCTCGAGAGACTATGGTATCGTTCTCTGTATGGAGGTCTTGGAACAGTGTCTTGTGTGGCTGAGAAGGCCAATTCGAGAGTGACAATCCCTTCCACACTGGAGACAAATCCAATCTGTCCCCTGTCCAGCTCCCTGGTTTTGCTTGTTTCGGGACTGCCTCTTTGCCTCGGTCTGCTGTACAAGTGTCTCTTCAAATTGGGAGAGGCCATGATGCACCGCCTGCCTCCAGGCTGAACGCTCAGACGTCAAGGTTTCCCATCTGTTGAGGTCCATTC